TGCATAGCAGAATGGGGATGACTGATACTGCGGTATTCCGATAACTGTTTGGTCACTTTCTTGCTAAAAGTATCCTTATTACTCTCACTTTTAAGCTGCACTCGCAACAGTCTTGTTGCCAAAGCTTTCCTGCGTCCGTTGAGACGCAAATGATGCACACGCGCTTGGACTAACGCATGGTCGCCGTCCAAAGACGTGGTCTAGAAGAAGCGGCAGTCTTCCGCCGACACCCTCCAGCGATGACTGAAAGCAGCATGGTCTATCTGTGTCTACCCCTAAATTGTGTTTGATGGACACCATGTCAGACGGTGTTTGTGCTGGCTAGAAATAAATGGTTATCTGAGCACAGTTGTAGCAGACGATCGCCGTTATCTCTTCGTTCGCCTGGGATTCCGGAAGTGCCACCTATATGCCTTCCTGCCTAACTTAACCTACCCACCAGTCCATTGCAATCACTTGCAACAACTACCACTTCTGAGCGCTTGGCTTTCAGTAGAAGGCTAGACATTTATCTGTAGAACTCATTCTTCACTCCATCCGAATCGCAGTAAGTGGGTGCGTAAACAGAGATTCCAAAGTGAGTTCTTTTTTGTCATCGCTGTCCTATTCAGTCGAACAGCACACAGACGACCATCAACTGAGAACCAGTCGAGCAGTGCGCTTTCTGCCGTAGGACTGAAAGCTATACCTACACCTGTAAGATCGTAAAAGCTAGTCATTGGATCTCCAGAAACTCGAAGGATGAAATGGGGGAGAATATTTGTAGCTCAGGTATATCGTATTGGTTGTATTGTGTTCTCTGAGCCAGGTTATTTAGTCGTAGAGCTTTCATCGTCCTGCTAGATGACATCATCAGCGCTAACTTCAGTATGAAGTGAGCTGGCAATATCTCTCCGTGAGTGATTTAGTAGCTTGCCCTAACGAACTGGTTTGTGACTGATTTTTTCCTTTGATTGTTGTGTCATTGACTATAGATTTTCCTGTTGGCTGTTCCTCCGTTTGACCTCTGACCTTTCTGTCATTTATCACTTTCCTTACTGGTTGATAGATTGGGTCTATGTCTATACATCTATTGATTGCTGACTGGCCTGAATGCCACGCTTCTAGAAATTCTTTGATATTTTTTGTCTACTCTATCCGAAATTTCTACACTGTCGAAATTGAATTCATGTACATAATTATCCACATGCATTGAAACGAGTGATGAAATATCATGACGTTTAATGGCCAGTTGGTGTTCATGTAGACGAAGGCGAAGAGGGCGACCACTTTGTCCAATGCAGTGTTGACTGCATTTATTAGAGTTGATTTTGTAATGATATTCGGTTTGTCTTTGCATATTGCATCCTTTGGTCTGCATAATAGTGTTTGGAGGCAATTTGTTGGTTTATGAGCCACACCAATTCCAAACGGTCTCAGCAACCTTGTCGTGATTTCTGATGCATTCTTTATGTATGGTAGGACGATGCGTTTGTTGATTTCTGTCGATGACTTTGTAGTTGGTGATGCACGGGATAGGCATCTTCTGATAAAGTTTCGTGGGTGGCCGTTCTTCGTTAGGGTGGACATCAAGTAATTTTCTTCGTTTCCCCGTGAAGTTGTTTTGCTGCAGTGTGTTCTCGCTCTTTTGAATAGAGTCTGCATGCAACTGATTTTGTGTGTTGTTGGGTTGTTGCTATTGTAGTTGGGGATTTAGTCAGTGTGTGTTAGCTTCCTGTACACTTGGTTTTCCAGCTTTCTGGCATTTATCCTACTGACTAAAACATCCAGGAATGGTAGTTGGTTGTTTGACTCTTTCTTCATTGTGAATTTGATGTCATTGAAAACGTTGTTGATCAAACTGTAGGTGTTTTCTATATCATCTTTTTTAATGGTGACAAAGGTGTCGTCTACACAGCGAATCCAAACTTTTGGTGTGATCACAGGTAGGATGATGGCTCCCTGTCTCTGCATCACTGCTTCTACAATTAGTCCGGATATCAGTGATCCCATTGGAGTTCCTTTCATAGGTTTGTATATCTTGTTGTTGAATTGGAAGTATGTTGTCAGACAAAGGTCGGTGGGTCCCATCAGAATTGAACATTTGAGTTTTGTGCGTTCTGCAAGGTTTTTGTCTTCATTGATCAGGAGGGATATCGTTTCCTTGGCCAATTGAGGTTCGATGGATATGTATAGTGCTGTAACATCGAAGGATATCATTAATTCATCGTTTTCTATGTTAATATTTTTGATCTTTTCTAAGAATTCTGTTGGTGACTTGATGGAATGTCCGCATGATTGGACGAGGTGTTTCAGTCTTCTCGAAAGTTCTCTTGATACGTTGTATGTTGGAGTTCTCGGAAGTGAGATTATTGGTCGTAGAGGGATGTTCGATTTGTGTAGTTTTGGTTTGCCGTAGAACTGAGGGAGAATAGTTCTATTCGATTTCATTCGCCACTTGTCTTGCTGTGTTATTTTTTCTGCTTTGAAGAGTTTGTTCAGGGTTTTATTGATCTGGTTGTCGAACTTTTGGATAGGATTGATTTCAAGTGGTTGACATACATTTTCCTCTTTGAGTAAGGCAGATACAAAAAGTGTGTTAGATCATTGAGGTTTCCCCACCACTCATGGAACATATCCATCTGTCTATTTGCTTTAAAGAACAAGACACATTTTTGTACGTTAACTAAAAATGATCACTTAAAGTTACATCAAAATATTTAAATGAATACAATACAATAAATTAATACGGTAGTTGTCTGTATTTAAGCTTTTCGTGTACACTTGTATTTAAACAGTCATTCTTGAATAAAATCTTTGAAAAATTTCATTCACAGATGTAATTATTGAAACTGCATAGCGCTATTTCTTTTTATACTTCGGAAATATCTGGCTGGGACACGATGAGGATGTAAAACACCTACTTAATCTCTTTCATTGTGATGTATGTCTTCAAACCAGAAGTATTTTTATGCATCACGACCCTGTGAAAACTGCTGACTTTTCAGGAGTATGAATACTTGCTGACATATTTGTATATCGTCTACATAAGTCCAAAGAATGAGTACAATTCTGAGATATTATATGGAAACAGTGCTAACACCTCTTTCCATGCATGCTGATTTCTTGCTGCATACACTGTGAATATAATAAACTAATCTGTGCTGTTATTTAACATAGTCTAGCATGTATGTATCTGAAGTAGCTGCAAAGCGCATGACTGGTTAAACACTTTTGTCGCATTTACGCAGAGCCTAGGTGACAAAGCAAGTAGGTGTTGTCATTATCAACCTGAAGCTTCACATGGAAATATGTGCTATTGAGAATGTAAAGAAATGTTCGGTGCTGTCCTTTCGAAAAACTTCATATTAAGTAGTTACTTTTCTCTTGCATTTCACTTGGATCACTATGAAATAAAGGCACGTTGAACACAAGCTTGAATTATTTATTTATTCTGGAACGTTCACGTTTTACTGTTGTTACTTACCAGTCATAATATAGTGAGTCTGAAATTCTGTTTTGGTATAGTGGATTTCGGAGCAACGGGCACTGATGTGAAAAGTGCTTCCCACGGTGATTCAACTTTTTTTCAAGTCGCTTGTAAAATATAAAACCTTTACATGGACCATTTGTACTATTAGGCTGTATTCTGTCTGTTTGTTTCATATCCAGAAAAAGATCTGAAAGTTTTTGAGATACTATTTAGTCGTTGGAATTCTTTTCTTTTTAAACTCTGCTCATCCTTCTAGTGATTTCACACATATATCTAAATTGTATTCAAGGCAAATCTCTAAATAGAATGCAATTTAAGAGCAATAATATTAGATGTCGATTCAGAGGTTATATATTATATATATTATTATATTATATTCCTTCTGTGTAATTGGTTGATGCTGTTAACAAATTTCAGAATCCTTATGCGTTTATTGTCTAATTAATGAAGTAGAAGGATGATGAGACTTATTCTTATGAGGTTAAAATTAACTGATAGCTTTACGGGTCGAAATTTTATCATCTTGCCATCCTCTTCTCTCTCCTTCCCTATTTCTTTCATCATGACCATTGAACAACTTCACGTATCTGCAACCTCGAGGAAAGTGATGTCGTTTTTGAGATTCGAACTTGTGTCATGCAGTGTTGCAGTCAGTGAGGTTACTACTCAGCTAATGCAAAATGATCGGTAGAATTCGTTTAATAGTCATAAACAGGCAACATGAAATTGGTTGCTCTCCAGTGACCAATCTATGTATCTAGTCCAGTCACGTAGGAGGTCATTTGCAGCCCATTAACTCAGTGAAAAAGTCACTAAGCGCAAGGCTGGCTGACGCTGGTTTCAATCTGACGGAGTAAATCACATTTCTTAAGGTCCCAGATACACCTAGCCAACGAGTGCCAACAAGCCCGAAACTTAGGTTAAGCAGACTTTCCTGCTGATTGCTGCGGACCAACTAACATACATTAAAGGTGCACCGCGAGTGGGATCCTCTCAGCTTGGTAGCCGCATTGCAAAAATGATGGATGGAATTCGGTCAGCATTCAGGACTAGACAATATGAAATTGGTTACTCTGCGGTGATCAATCAATGTAGCTTCACACATGCTGCAATATATCAACAAGAGACTCTACATTCACTTTCATTACTTCCCTCAGGTGAATTTTGACGCCTGATTGCATTTGATATTTAAAATAAGCAATATAGATCAATTGAATATTGTAATAAATACCGGAAGACACGGATTTTGTCTAAAATTTACTAACTGTTGAGAGTCTTATATTCCTTCTACATTACCATGTTATGCCATCATTTTGATATTAAATGGCTGGAGGCATGTGTTAGTTAATAAATATGCTTACATGTTTATGATTCTAACAGCACCTCTACCAAACGAGTTCTTTGATATTTGACTCAACCATATAATACGCGTTCTAGTTATCTCAAAGAGTTTATTGCTTAAGAATCTCGTATTATATTAATTGGATACAGGTTATCAGTATGTATTTGTTTTCATTGCATTTGCTAGTTCGAACCTGATGAGGACGAAGTTGATAAGTTTTTGGAAAGCTCGAGTGAAGATGATTCAGAAGACATGGAAGAAGAAGCGGTAGCAGACTTTAATCTGGATGATTTTGACTCTGAAGATGTTGAAACAGAGCTGTTTAACCCACTGCATAATGTTGGTGCCAGACTTAGAAACATCAGTGTCACTTCTGGTCATACTGACCAACATAATATGACTACTTCTTGGCTATCAATTTTAAATACCCTACCTGTTTCAGAGGTTGGTTCTGTGTTTCAAAAGCCAGTCAAACAAATGTTACCATTTGGAATCGATCATTTGCCAAATTTCTCTGGTACCGACATGATTTCATGCATCAAGAATACTCCAAATAATCAACTTAATCCGGGACTCGGAAAATGTAATAACGGACCTTTTGAATTGTCGATTAAACCAAATATTCGTACACATACATGGGACAGGTTAGTTGAATTATGTTTTCGTCCTTTTCGTAGTGACATGTTTAATGCATAAAAAACGAAGATAGCAAATGAGTTCTCTTTTCTAAGGCGTTTATTTGTAATCTTTGGATCCCCATGTGGTTTGAGGATATGACCTCGATTAAGAGCTGTGGGTTATTGGTTAAGGCTGTCGACTTTCAACCAATGAGTTAAGTTTGTGAACCTCGCTCCAATTATGGTGATGTTTGAGGAGCCAAGTAATAACGTTAACCACAGCAATTGGAAAATATCGTCAGCTTTCATCCAATAATTCTGACTGTACTTAGTGTATGAATATCCATGTGGTTTCTGAGACAGACCACACTTCAATTCAACTAGTAGCAAACTAATGAAGTCCAGGTTATGGTGGTGGTGAAAAGAAGTTACGTATATTATATATATATATATATATATATATATATATATATATATATATATATATATATATTCAATGAAAAATAGGTGGGAGCTTGGCGCCTCGGTGCCTTGCGTCAGTGAAATACCACTGCTGTCATTGTTTCTTTACGTATTCAGTGAAACAGGAACGAAATTGTATTTTGGTATAAAGCACATGCTGGCATACGTAGTTTAACTCTGCGTGTGTCGGTGTCATGGTCATGTTAGATTAGTCCTAGTGCAAATTGCGGTGTTTGAGTCTAGATGTGATGTATATGTATAATATACGTAACTTCTTTTCGGTCAGAATTATTGGATGAAAGCTGACGATATTTTCCAATTGCTGTTGTTAACGTTATTACTTGGCTCCTCAAACACCACCATAATTGGAGCGAGGTTCACAAACTTAACTCATTGGTTGAAAGTCGACAGCTTAAACCAATAACCCACAGCTCTCAATCGAGGTCATATCCCCAAAACACATGGGGATCCAAAAATTACAAATAAACGCCTTTTTGAAATCGTCACTCACATTCTTGTGACAACTTATAATACTACTTGCTCATGAAGGTGCAGGAAGCTGCAGCGAAATATGAAGTTTACCAATTCAGTTTGCAAATACGCTATTAGTCTAAGTGCAACAAAACTGCACTGCAAGCGATAGTAAGTCCTCAGTCAGAACAAATATAGGACCTGTCATTACTGCGTAACGTTCAATATTGTCACACCTCATATTGCACACCAGGGTAGCAGGCACGGAGGTGAAACATAGAGGAATAAGCAAGAAAGTAATCATAGCAGTGGAAGCTCAGAAAAAGAAGAGGAGGAGAAATAGGGGTGAAAATTAAAATGACGATGAAGGTGATATGATCACACATTTGTACCACTGAGGTCGATTCTGAACCATATCCCCTACAGTCTCCATCCAAAGATGTTGCATATTGCGCGTATTCTAATTGGAAAGTCTATATTCCCGCACGTACTACAGATTGACATTCAAAGACTACATAGACTACTGATGTCATGACTTTTTCCTGACCATCTTCAAATTTTGTTCCTACCCTAACCAACCTCAATACACTTTGAGGAGTAGTCGAGAAAACGCATGTACTCCATGCAAAGAAGGTTAGACATTGATTGGTCGCCAGAGAGCAACCAGTTTGATATTACCTACCCCAGAACAGTCCCATGAGACTTCCTCTCATCTTCATACGCCAAACAGTACATCTATAGCATTACTTCACAATTCCCTACCTCTATACCTATAAATCTACCAGGTCCTGCTGCATGGCATCTTTTCAGGTTAGAGACAGCCTCCTCAAATTCAAAAATAGAAGGAGTAAAATCAGACCAGTCCCAATCAACTTTCGGAGGAATGATGGGCAACTGGAACGTGACTGTAGGCCAGTTGAATGAACTGTGCTTCAAAGTGTTCCGCCCAACGTCTTAACCAGATGTCCGTAGACGCTACCAGGGACCCCTCCTTTCCGGCGATGGTCTCGCTAACAGTCATATTCTTCTTGGCAGTGTTCTTTGTCGACCAAAGTCACTCGAGTGTTACCCAATACTGATGTCTTCCCCATGTATTTCGCTTGAGCACCCGCCACTGTTTGTGATCGTAATGAAGACTATTAGTCAACTTATGTTTAAACAGCTTTGCTCATCTTCTCAGAGGGAGTAGGCTGGAATCAGTCTTCTCGCATCAATCAGTATGGAAATCCACTGACTATTGCTAATCTTTCGATGTAGGTTGCCGACCACCTTCATCGCTACATTTAACATCAGACTGAACATTATATCAAGTTTCATCAGGGAGAGAACTGATATCATGTTCAAGTAGTTGATAAGCTATCTATCCCATATATACGCATTTGACATTAGCATCTTCCATTCGAGCAAAAAGAGGCTTCGCCACTGTGTGTCCTGTAACCAGTGAGGTACCTGCTATTGTTTAATAATAACAGTAATAATAATATTATTATTATTATCATTATTATTATTATTATTATTATTATTATTATTATTATATCTCAACAGTCTGCTATATGTAGCAAAACTGATAGCTTTCAATGGAAAGTATGGAGACTACGAATAGGTATCGGCTAGTCCCACAATCTTTCTCCGTCCTTACTGATCCGTTCCGTTGGATAGTGTATAGATGGTTGTTCACAGGTTTTCAGCCAAAAAGTGCGCCATCTGCTCGACAACTAAATGGAATACCTATACTAGCGAGTCCACCAGATCCAGCCATTGAATACCCCAACACTCGTAATGTGAATTTCGCAGATCCACAGAACTGACTACAGATTCCACAGTTTTAGCAAGAGACGCCTGTTGTCCGATTCGACATAGAGTTTGAACGTTGAAAACTGCAATGCGAAAATGCCATCATGGTTTTAGGAGACTAGGAATGGTGTTTGGCTGGCTTGGATCATTAGCAGTGGTCGCAGGGTGATGGGCTGAGGAAGTTGTAAGAGGCTTGACATGGGTGTCAGCAAGTGAAGGCAAGGAAGGCAACAAGGATAAAGAAAGTGGGTTATGGTTAGTTTGGATTTGTTTACCGCTGGAAACGTGCAGGTCACTGATATTCCCCACAACATGGAAGTTGTTTCTACAAGACATCTGATAGACAAAATGGATTAATTTTGCATGACATCACAGCCCATGAGAAATCTACTTGAGGTCGGTCACACATGAATTGAAATGTGATTGTGCTAACCCCGGGTGAGAAAATCTTTAAAAACTGGCACCATAAGGCCATCTGATAAAAATTTCACTACTTCAGCCATGTCACCAAGAGTTCTCGACCACTGATTCCCATCATCTCGAAGACCACAATCTCCCAACACGACTCGGAACAATAGTAAGAGACTTCATCAACTGGTATCAAGTCTTGGCCTGACCTCCCTGAACCTTCTTCCAACATGATCCAACTTCCCCTAACATGGGACATGGAGGTAGGCAGTGAATCGGCATGCGCAGAACATATCTAGGCCATCTCAGTTAACTAAGGTTCACAATCTGATCGATCGACTTGCCTAGGACCATTTGTTTGGTCTCAACACTGCTCTCAAGATGATTCCACCAAAAGCGAGGAGTGCTGAGAAATCTGAGACGTTACAGCAGACTAGTGCCAGAGCATCACCTTACATTTGACAAGTGCCAAACGAAAGGGAATTTAGGATTACATTGAAATATTCACCGAAAAATGTGAGGAAAGATTTTAAGACAAAGATGTAGAAGGTTGTTTATTATGTGGCAGAATTTGAGTACTGACAGAATTGTATTGGGTATCGACGTTTGAAGGCTTTCTACACAATGAAAGGTTACTTTATGAGGTACAGGAGAAAGATCGGTAGTTTAAGACTAAACTTTAATCATCCTCAGAGCAGGAGAAAGTTCACTGTTTAACTAATAACCTCTACCTATGCTCCTTCCACAGGGAAGGGAAGGCCAGTACGAACTGTGGGTCACCCCTGAGAAACACCTTACTGCTGTCACACTCCCAATCAGCCAACAGTGCAACTTCGCCCACGAACCTCCATCAAAAGGTGACTAGCTATCTATACTGTGATGGTAACTACTTTCTGTCTTACCACTATCCAACAGATATTTCTAGCATAGTAGAACCTCAAGGATCAAATACTCACATTAGCACATTTCGATGGACCACTGTGATATACAAACCCGACCACCATGTCAAGGCAGTAGATATCTATCTATACTTAAATGAATCAGGTATTTAGAATGTATAACAGTACTCAATATTTTTGATGTGTAGTCAAAAATTGTTTTAAATGTCACCGTATGACATAAAAAGTGGTGATCATTTCCTAACTGATGCTTTAAAACTGTACAGTTGGGAGTCAAAACAGAATGATATACAAAGACAAAAAACTAGACTAGAAAAAACAAAGGTACTGGTTGTTTTAACAATCTTCCTTTTCTAGTCCATGACAAATAGTGAGTGGACTTAACACGAGATAGTTATAGTTTCTGTACTCGGAAAATTTAGTTAAACCGCTTGTTACCTGGAGCTACTTTAATAACTTCCGACTGTCAGTGAATGTAATGTTTTTCTGCATCAGGTGTTGCAATGAGTCAATCACTATCGAAATAGGACCAGGCATTACCGCCACACCTCATATCGACATCACAAGATGAAATATGAAGAAAGCAAACTCGGTCAATAGCAGTATAAGAGAGGAAGGAAGAATGAGAAAATGTTGAGTTCAGTATGGCGGTTAGGATGAAGATAAAGTGTGGATACATCTGTACCACTGACATTGATTCTGAACCATATTAACTAGAGTCGCCAACTACTAGTTTTCGGTGTCACATGAACCCTAACCAGCTTGTCTGCATCTCCCTACATGGTTCATACCAACAGTCACCGATTTCATGTAGTGATGTCATATTTTAGTCTGGTTGCATAGAGCCTTTTCCTTGCTTGCGTGATGAGGACCATTTGTTTGGTCTCAACACTGCTCTCAAGATGATTCCACCAAAAGCGAGGAGTGCTGAGAAATCTGAGACGTTGCAGCAGACTAGTGCCAGAGCATCACCTTACATTTGACAAGTGCCAAACGAAAGGGAATTTAGGATTACATTGAAATATTCACCGAAAAATGTGAGGAAAGATTTTAAGACAAAGATGTAGAAGGTTGTTTATTATGTGGCAGAATTTGAGTACTGACAGAATTGTATTGGGTATCGACGTTTGAAGGCTTTCTACACAATGAAAGGTTACTTTATGAGGTACAGGAGAAAGATCGGTAGTTTAAGACCAAACTTTAATCATCCTCAGAGCAGGAGAAAGTTCACTGTTTAACTAATAACCTCTACCTATGCTCCTTCCACAGGGAAGGGAAGGCCAGTACGAACTGTGGGTCACCCCTGAGAAACACCTTACTGCTGTCACACTCCCAATCAGCCAACAGTGCAACTTCGCCCACGAACCTCCATCAAAAGGTGACTAGCTATCTATACTGTGATGGTAACTGCTTTTTGTCTCACCGGTATCAAGCGGATGTTTCTGGGATTGTGTGTCGTGAGGTGAAATCTCTCGGAATATATGATATTTATTTTTTTGACCTGCACTGAATGATGGTGAGTCCGTATTGTAGAAATCCGCAGTTGTTTGTTTCTGTTCATTTGAAATTCTGAAGAATGTTGTAAGTGTTGGTGCCTTTTATAGGTGTTCGTGTTTTGAGATTTTTCCCTGTACAATGATTGAGTTTATTTCATTGGGTGTGATTTAGCTTGTCGACGGTTGACTGATCACCTAACTTGGAAATGGATATTGTATGGTATCTCAGTTGCTGCGAATATCCTGCTCTTCATACGACTTTGATATCTCCTTCTCGTTGTACTACGGTGATAATAACTATTAGGTGTAGTGAATGCTATACATTTCCCTAAGGTTGTGCAGAAAACAGGCTTTCGACTACAAACTCCTGGGATATTCTGCGTTATCTTCCTTTTGTTTTGTTTTATGTACCACCTAATTTATAGGGATTTACGTGTATATTTGTTTGATCAAATTGAAATTGGACTATTTCATTGGTTGAAATGAACTTTTAACCTTGTTTTTGTATGTTTCAGTATTGTGTATTCATATATTCTTGTAATTCTGAAAAGGATCGTTTACCTATACTTTTTATGAAAGCTAATTGTCCGCAATGTCTGAAACATTTGCTAGCGCTGGAGTATATATATATATATATATATATATATATATATATATATATATATATATATATATATAACTATTATTTGTCCTTTGGGTTCCTACCAGAACATAGGCTTCAGTAGCACGTCTCCATTGCACTCTTTTCTTTTCAGTCTTTTGAACTTGGTTCCACGTCTGCCCAGAAGCTTTCATACCCTCCTTACAATATCTCCTCCATGTCACCCTCAGACGCCCAACCCGTCGTTTCCCATCTGGGTTCCACTCGAGGGCCTGACCTGAGGCGTGATATCCCCAAATGGTCTTCCCAGTGTATGCCCAATCCATCTCCACTTCCTTCTGCATATTTTTTGAATGATAGTTTCTTGGTTGGTTCTCTGTTAGCCAGAGTTCCTTGTTGCTTATTCTTTCTGGCCATCTGATCTTCAGTATCGAGTGAGCGTAGGCGGCAGTTGTTGATGAATCTCTGTAGTTTGTTGGGAATGCTTTTCACATAGAAACACTGACTTGACATTGGTGTTGAAAATTCCGATCTTGTTCCACATGCTGAATGCAGAAGATCTCCATACTGGTTTCAGGCTAATGAACGCCTGTCTTGCTTTTCCGATCCTGCCTGGCTTTGACGTCCTCGTCTGTGCCTGTGCCACCTGTAGTTGAAACAGTGCTGCCTAGATAGGTGAAAGAGGCTACTTCCTTTAAGTTTCTTCCGTTGATGGTGATTGGAGCTTGTTGTTGTCGTTGGTGGTGCTGGTTGGGTGTCTTCATCACCTCTGTCTTCTCTACGTTCACTTGCAGTCCCGTCTTCGCTGCCTCGCCTCTTCTGTCAACTTGTTAGTTTTCACATGTAGATCTTCAAGTCTGTGTGACATTGGACACAAGTCATCGGCGAAATCCAAATCCTCTAGGATCTTTTCCCCGGGCCAGCGTATGCTCCTCTTCTCGCTCCTCACGGTTTGCTGTATGATCCAGTCCAGTCGACCACAATCAGGAAGATCATCGGTGATAGTAGGTGGTAACCTTGTCTTGTCTTACTCCTGTCTTCACTTCAAAGGCGTCACCGAGCTTTCCATTGTGAATCACTTGGGATAGAGCATCCTCATATAGCATATAGCTGTTGAATGAGGTTGGTAAAGGTTTGTGGCACTGAAACCGTAGTGTTGAAGCAGCTGCCTGCCAAATTACTTCTCAGTCGACGCTGTCGAAGGCCTTTTCAAAATCGATGAGGTTGAGGTAGAGAGTTGATTGTCATTCTATGCTGTGCCTTGTGATGATGCGTAGCATAGTGTTGCAATTTGATCCGCACATGATTTGTTCTTCATGAACCTAGCCAGCCAGCCTGTTCCTGTCGTAATTTTGAATGCAGAGCATTGTTAATCTCTCCAGGATGATGTGGCTTAATATTTTGCTTGCTCTGGGTGGACAGAGACAGGATCATGATTCCGAGCCAGTTCTTGCAAATACTTAGGTCTTCCTTCTTTGGGAGTTTGACATGGTAGCCCTTCTTCCAATCCCTAGGTGCCTTGTTAATTCTTCATGTATTACGATCATTATCCAATACCGTTTTTGGGTGGTATCTGTCCTCATACTCGGTTTGGTTTACTTAACAGATCATAGCTTCTGGCTAAAACGTCGAGAAATCAATCCTAAAAGCAAGTTACTAATGAGTGATAGGCATTAATTTATTTGGTGGTTTGTATGAACTGATAGAGGTAGGAGAATGTCGATCGTTAGATTCCAACCGAATGACTGAATTTCGACGTGCTCATCATGTAACCTGACGTTTCTGAATTGGGTGCTCCATGATGGCAACCATGAAGGTAACCCTTCTCCCAATCGACAGGTACCTTTCCTTCCTTCCTTACAAATCTTCTGCAGTATTGATGTGAGCATATCCGCTTTTCTCTCTGCGTCTGTTTTCAGTGTTTCTGGCGAAATTCCATCTGGTCCTGCTGCTTTCCCGTATTTCAGCAACTTTATGGCGTTCAGGACTTCCGCTTTTGTTGTGTTCACTGGTGATTCTGTGGCTCCTGGTGGTACTTCTGAACGAGTGGTGGTCGATTCAAGAGTTTTTTGAAGTCGTGAGCCTATCATTTTTTTGTTTCTCCTCTTTGATAACTAGCTTTCCTTCATTATCTCTCATTGGTTTCGTCTGCGTTGATCTCTTCCCAGATAGTGTTCTGGTTATTTGATATAATGTTGTCAGTTCTCTCCTACATGCAGCCTGTTCTACTTCACTTGCCTGTGTGTCGAAGTTTTTCTCTTTTTGCACACTCTTCTTCACTTCTTTGTCCAGTTCCTCTTCTCGTTATTCATACCTGCACTGGTTCATCTTCTGCTTCTGCATCTTCCTTTCCCTTCTCTGTCAGTTTCCATGTGTTTGTCGAGATCCATTCCTTGTGTTGCTTCTTCCTCCTTCCTAACACGGTTATGTAGGTTTCGTTTCACATTTGTTTCAAAGAGTTCCAGTGTTCTTCCACTCAGGTGTCCCCGAGGATGTTGCCTAATATCTCTCGTTTTGTCCTGATGTCTTGCTGACGGTAAGATGTCCTTTGTAGCTTCATCCTTTACTTTCTGTTCTGGGTGTTAAACTCGAACTGTGGTCTATCAACAACTTCTTTGAGGGCTCTCAACTAGATTTTGAAAGTTCTTTGCATTAGATCTTGTTTTTAGTAGGCTGCGTCTCCACTTTCTTCACATTGAGATGAAGTCGACCTGATTATCAGTGTGTCCTGGTGTCTGGTGAAATCGATGTCGCTTTGTGGATATCCTTGTGTTTGTACACACTGTCTCCAATCACCAAATCGTTGAATGCACAGAAGTCTGCAAACAGTTCTCCATTCACATTCATTTCACCGAGCGCCTCTCGACCCATGATTAGTTCTCTTCCTGTATTGTCCCCTCCCAGTTTGGCATTCATGTCGCCCATTAGAATTTTGGTGTCGCCAACTGGCGTCTTGTCCAGTGTTGATTGCAGTTGTCTGTAGAATTCATCCTTCTTCTCTTGCTCTGCTTTATTTGTAGGTTCGTTGCATTGTATGTTTGTGACTTTCCTTCCTTTTGAGTTGAACCTTACTGTCATGATCCTGATGCTGGAGGAGATTGGTTGCCACTGCATGAGGGCCTTCGATGCTCTTGGGGACATCACGATAGCCACTCCGAAACTCAGTGTGCTCGTGGTTGTCATCTGGGTGACAATATCGGAGTAGATTATTGATTCTACAGTTGACAGTTTGGAGAGTCCACTTCTACTCCATCTGCTTTCGCAGATTTCATGCACTTCCATACCATACCTTCTCATTTGTTTTGCAATCTGGGTAGCCTTGCTGGGTTCATACATTGTGCGGACATTTCATGTCCCCACATTTACTTTCGCTTTCGTCGAGAGGGAGAAGATACATCGGGAATTGGCATCCTGAAGGCTTTCACCAACCGGCGTCATTCCGTCTCCCCGATTCCAGGAGGAATAATTTTGTTTTCATTTTTTATATTTTGTTTGTTCTTTGAAGTTTCTTTAGTGGTTGAATTGGTTTTGCGGGTTAGGGTTACTAGCCCTATGCCCAACCTTCCCTCTTTATCTGGGCTTAGGACCGGCTAGTAACTAGTGAAGTGTAAGTTGTATTCTTAGACGGGGGCATGATCACTTTTATGACAACTAATTTTGTGAACTTTATTTTTCTATGTATGTACTTATTTTTCATTGTTCCATGATAGACACAGTGATGGATATCGTTGTTGTTGATTGCCATTTCAGGAGTAATAATGCCTTACCAACCAGCCAAGTTGAATCATCTGTAACTATATCTGATGGAACTAGAACAGCTTCAGTTTCTTCTAACGTTTCAACATCACATTCATTTACATTAACTTTCCATCCTGATGGAGACAACTCACATACATCGGAGCCAGGAGAATTTGGAGTATTATCATTAAATACTGCTATAGATGGTTTTGATTCATATACTGAAGAATATTTAGCTGCGTCAATTGATTTACGTGAACGTCGGTCTGCTCGGCTAGCCCGACAGATGAGGATGCGTGAACGAATTGAAAGTATGCGAATGCGAATGCGTGAGGCGGATATGGAACGTAAACGATGGCTACCGGTTCGTCTACTCCAGTACCTTCGCCGATTTTACGCTGAGAGTGGTTATGTAAGGAGTACAACCGGTGCTGTAATCAGCAGTGTTCTTATAATTGCTGTCGTCAGTTTTGTGCAATTGCTACATCTGCTGGTAGTTCATTTTATTCTAACATCTGAATTTGTTTACCACTAGTAAGAAAAATGTTAATTTCATCAGTGCTCAGTTTTTTTTTCTGTATTAAGTTGTGCCTTCTAATTATCATAAATTCAGACTGCACAACTAATTCTATCTCAGGTTGCATACTTGTATATTCTTGACACAAATCACTTAATGTTGTCCCAATAACATAATTGAAAAACTACATTTTACCCACACTCATTAACTTATCATCTAAACTTCTAGTTTCATCTCACATGAACGTTTTGGATTTCTTGTTGACCATAAGCTTTCTTCATATTTACACTTTTTTGTCAAAAGCCGATTCTCTTTCTGTTGTATATGCTACCTCGCTCTATAAAAGCTGTTGTGTCTAAAGCAAATGCCAAATCTCATTGTTACAGGTCATCTACCTCTCATTACTTTTCTGTCCTAAATCTCTCAATCCTTTGGTTGCTTTCTAACAGACTGCCATATTATATATATATATTATATATAAAGTGAAATGAACATTGGTTCCGTTTATTCAACTGTATTTATTGTGCTGTGATATATGTTATGTTTATAAGCATAAGTGTATGCACATACAATTGATGCTGAACAGGTGTTCTTTTTTTCTTCACTTAGAATAAATGAAAAATTGCGTTTTACATGCACGAACGGTTGACTAGAAAAACTTTACGGCCACTAAAGTTTTTACACAGCTTTTACACAAAAATGAAAATATTTTAATAATAACCCTGTCAAGTGATGAAACACTAAGCCGTTATATACTGAAAAGCGTTCAGTACTTTAAATGGATGGGTAAATACGGATCGCTGAAATTGTCTTTGTAGCAATTAAAAAAGCTACTTAACCGGTGTCTGGTCATCTTTTGAACCTCAACCTGGAACCCAACATCCACCGAAAAGACTCATACAAACGGGTTTTGACTAAATTAGCTAATCCAGTCTTCTTTCGTTTAACTTGAAGTCCCGATCGACAGTTGTTGCCTTCAAGTGTGGGTGTCACTAACGAGCTCCGCTCACTGGGACAACTAATCCTTAGGTCGGTTGGATAGTAACTGAATTAAAAGCAGCTGCATTGATGTTGTGAAGCATTACACTATATAGTAAGTGTCCGCGGCTGAAGTTTTACTGCTAATTGAGTGGGATTGTGGAGGTAGCATTTCGTCTGTACCGACTACCCACTCCATTGAGGGCAGGTAGGAAAATAAAAAATGTACACTTCATCTCTTCCTTCGTCTTTATTACCTCTTCCGATTACCAACATTATGCCATCACAGCTTCCTCAACTTCTTGCTTTGTAACCGTTATCAATGATTCATTTCAGAAGCTAAATACCTTGGATATTCAAATCTTCTTATCCTGTGCTTAATCAAACCACTGATGGAGAATCTGGCATTTCCGACTATGGATGCATTTGACGAATGCATTTCATCGGTGTTAGTGGGTGATGAATAAAATTAAAAATCAATCCACCAACTAATTAATGCAAACCACCTATGCGATTGCTGTCCTACACTGATTAGTCACATTTTCCTATATGAACTTCCTTAACTCGTGATTCAAAGATAGGATCCGTGAGTTCAAACAAGTCACTTACGAGGGGTATTCGCTGAAAATTTGGACGATTGGATTCGAACGTATTACCTGAGTGGTGAGGTGCATGCCACGGTAGTTATTGAATGCGTATCTTGTATGCGCATTCCTGAGAAGTCCCATATTAGCGCGAGTTAGCTGTCCGGTACTATCAATTTTTCAGTGGTCCCCCAACTTTTATAATGAATATTACCTTTACATACTTCTGATCGCTTTCTAAAAAATCACATAGAGTTTATCCATTCACTAGAAGGTCAAACTTGTTTCTTGTCGTTAGTCAAAACTAAATTGATGAATTTATGTCTTGAAGACGGAAATACCAACCGGTTTGCTGAAATCATCCGTGTATGTTTTATTTTATAGTTTATATGAGGTCATGATCCGTTGATTAAAACTAATGTGCTGTGTTGGTGGAATACCTGTTCCGTTGAGGTCCTACTGCTACTGAAAGGTTCTTTTGAATAGTGGTTTGATGGGAAGCAGTCAGTGTTGTAATGTAAATTACTAAACTATGATAGAGTCCTTGGGCGAAGTCGTGCTGCCAGCTGGATAAGGGTGTGACAGCAGTAAGACATTTCCCATGGATCACCTGCAGTGCTGCGCAGATGCTGCTTTCCCCATGGAAAGGGACTTTGGAATACGCTGACCCTAAGAATGGCAT